AGATGTTCGAATTTGTGCAACGCATTTTATGGACGACAGTTTTTTGAACCTAGAAGAGTACAAAGCTGGCTGTGCACAAAGGGTCAGTTCCGACTTTGCTATGACAATCTGGTGCTTCTGAATCAGCGACTGTAAGTATGTTTTGTTATTAGTTTAAGTATTTGCTACTGACTGTTCAAATGCGGAGTTTTGCGCAGCTCAGAGTAACGCGTCGTGTGTGTCTGTGTGAGGGGAACAGGGTCACATCACAGGAGAGTGAACTGCCTGTCAGAAATCATAGCACGTCAGCTGTCTTAACCGCGGCTTGTGTACTGCATCATCACTGTGTCTGTCACGTGACTCTGTTGCCCTTTCGGGCTTGAACTGATGGTAAAACTAACGACATTATTAACTGTCTTGATATTTACTTTGAAAGCTGAAGCTGCGATTATGGTAAGGGGCGTTACATTTCTGACGCGTGCTTGTGGTGTTCGGCCAATCACAATGCACTGGGTCAGCTAGCCAATCAGAGAAGACTGCGCTTGTCAAAGGAGGGGACTTTGTAGAAAACTACGTGTTTGAGAGAGGCGGGGCATAGAGGACCTACAATAATGTACAGTATTTGAAAAATAATGTGTTTTTTGAACATTAAAGCATGTCAACATATTCTGTTACACCAAATACACAAAATAATGATCTTTAAAATAGCATCATATGACCCCTTTAAGTCATATAATTTAGGATCCTAAAGATCTAATTAGCATAACTAGCTTCTTAAAAGTGTTAATGCACAGTATTTTACTAGTCAGATTTATTAACGTTCTAACAAGTTTTGTAGCTCATCATTTGGTCTTTGTTGGCATTCACCCGGTCTAATGAGAAGGCTGGGCTCATGTATTGCATTGCAACTTGTCAAAGTCTGGCTTACACTCATATATCATCACTGCCATAATATACAACTTAGATTAGACTTGGTCTTGATGCAAACAAGAATGCTGAATCCTGTCTTGCAAAAGTAAGTACAGGCAAACTCATCGGCCTGCAGAGGAGGTCACACTGTAGCCCACCTTTTAGGTAATATTTTAAGCACAACAGATGCTGCATATTTTATATACAAAAAGTGTATATGCATAGCTTAGGTTATACATATTTTTAGAGATGTCCCATAAAGGTGTCATAAAAGTAACTCATACTTGCATATATTCAAATTATTCCCATAAAGCCATAAACTTAAATTTGTGTGTGAGAAAGACCAAAGTAAAAGACGTTATTAGCAGAAAATCACAACTTTCAAATCTCATTTACAGTGGCTATATTCAAATGTTAATTACCATTCACTTTAATTGACCCTTCACAGGGAGTTTGATTGACAGGCGATCTGACCAATCCTAACGCACTGAATCTGCATTTTTTTTGTCCGACAAACAAACAGGACAGGAGAGTAGATTACCGTCGGTGGACTTGACATGAGCCTGATTCAAACACATTAGCCTGCCTGCTCGCCACAGCTCAGCGTGTTTGAGCACATACACATATGTTAACCGCTAGGCCACTGCTCTACACTTGTGAACTCTTTCTGAAATGTCAGCCAGCCCATCAGTATTCTGCACAGAGCTTAATGAATTTCAGAGCAGAAAGGCTCTTTTTAGACCTTGGAATAATCTTTTCCCCGTGAAGATCAGTGATGAGTGTCACCAAACACAAAAGCTGCTACTCCATATGAAAAATACCCCAATATCTCTATGTATCATTTGAAGCATCTGCTAAGATGAACAGCACTTTGATTTAACACGTTTCCCATTTCTGGTAACTTATCACGGTATAAAATAACCATAGATCTCTCCTGATAAGCGAGCATTAAAGAGAGAGACTGATAAATGAGAACAATGGCCTTGCCAAGAGTCTTTGTGATATGATCAGGTATTTAAAAACACATCTATCAAACAACTCAATGTTTATTCAAGGTCACGGCCAACATTAAGGGACTCTCCAAATACACCCTGAATTTGCCAAAGTTTGCTGAGCTTGAAACATGTAGCATACAGCAATCCAGATATGAATAGGCAGAACTCTATAGTCTGCTTTGTTTTGTCTGAGTTAAATCAGTCTTTTTTTATGCTGCCAGTCAAAACCTCTGGCTATGCAAAACCCTGCATGACTGTAAGAAAAAAAGTCTCCTAAGAAACTCAAAGAAGTAGACAGGTGCATGTTGTCATTTCTTTTTAAGAAAGTATGACTTGACAAATGTTCTCCAGACAGTCACTGATTAGAAGAGTCTTTAGTCAGTCTGCAGTCTGCAAAGTCAAACGTTAGCCTTGATGAACAATTGCAGAAGGTTGCCGTCATCAAGACTTCCAGTTTTAATTAGAAAACCCAGCTGTCTGTGGCAGCTGTTTCTCTGAGACGCTTCATACCAGTGATTCTTAAACTATGTGACACAACTATATTGTGCCATGACTGATCAAAAATAATAAAAGAAGATCTTTTATCCTACTTTTTATGTTATTCAAATTGTTAATTGTTTATTCCCAATGTCTGATTATAATGTTAATATGGATTAACTGTAAGTCTTAGATATTTATGTATCTAAGACTTACAGATGCACTAATATTAAATTCTGTGAAGTGACGTGTGGCCAAGTATGGTGACCCATACTCGGAATTAGTGCTCTGCATTTATCCCATCCAAAGTGCACACACACAGCAGTGAACACACACACACCGTGAACACACACCCGGAGCAGTGGGCAGCCATTTATGCTGCAGCGCCCGGGGAGCAGTTGGGGGTTCGGTGCCTTGCTCAAGGGCACCCAGTCGTGGTATTGAAGGTGGGAGAGAGCGCTGTACATTCACTCCCCCCACCTACAATCCCTGCCGGTACGAGACTCGAACCCGCAACCGACTCTCTAACCATTAGGCCACGACTTCCCCCAATTATTTGTTTGATAACCAATAATTTTGCTACGACCAATGACCTATAAATGGCTGATAGTAATAATGTCTAATATTTTGTGAAAATTAAAAAGAACATTAAAAAGCTTACAAAAAACCATGGAATTCAATTGTTGTAGTAGCTGACTAGATGGTACTTGGATGTTTTGATTTCATTAAAAGTGGTACCCAAAAGGTCCAAAGACCAAAGGGAACTGGTTCTGTGCGTCGCAAAGCTACAAAATAGTTCAATTTTTGGGAAGTTAAAAAACAGAATGGATGTTTCCTTGTGACTACAAGATGCCCCTGTTGTAAACAAACATTGAGAATAAAATTGAACTTCAGCTATGCAATTCTGGACTAAAATGTACCTAAGGCTGCAGTAAAGCTGAATCAATGTTTCAAGCAAACAGACAAAAGCCTAAAACACAAATCTCTAGCTGCCATCTTGATAGTCTCCAGTCTGTTTCAAAGATAGCTACAAACCAGATAAAATCCTGAAAGACGATTTGTTAAATTGTAAACATGCTTCTCTCCTCACATATTGACAAGATAAAATTAGAATTGTGCTAATGGATAGACTCTCTTTGGGTTTTAGTGCATATCTGAATTAATTATAGCCTCCAAAATCACTTACGACGAGCCTCGGGGAATACCCAACAAAGACTTTGTTTCAGTCTCTAAATTGCCTAAGCATAAATTGAGGAGAAAAAATAGAGCTTCCTTTGTCCTGATTAGGTGAGCGTCATTCTCAAATTTAGGACGGGGTCATCGAGCTACTAAGATTGGCCTATTTCAGGTGTTCTTGTGCATAGTATGACAAAATACAGTTTTGCAGAGACTGTGAAATGTTTTAACCTTCCTGACATACTAACTTAGCAGTGTTATCAACAGCCATTATTAGTGGTACCTGCAAAACATTTACCTGTTAAATAATTTGAGCCATAATATAATTTATGTAAAAATGGGGTCATTTCAGAATTTGATGTTTAAGGAGGTTAGATTATGCATATTTATTTTGAGATTTGCTGAAGAAGTAAGCAATGATGGTAAAGATCAGTTAAATATAAAAATAGGGAAAATAAGCATTCACAATTAAATATCTAATACATCAAACTTGTAGTTGGACTGTAATTAAATTATATTTAGGAGCATGCTTAAGAAAAGAGTGACAAACAAAAACATTCTCATTCAATTGCTCAAGCATGTCGTTTGAAATAAACATCAGCCATGCATTTGAATACTTCTATAGTTTTTTTTTTTCATATTTTTTAGAAAGATATGAACAGATTTTGGAGGTGCAGTCCAGTTTATCCAAGGACAGAACAATGTTGGTCGGTTTTACTCAACATCCTAAGCTACCCTCACAGCAATATTGCTCTGGAGATTATGAACAGACATCAGTTATTAAGAGCACACATCTCTGATTTACATGGAGAATCATGGTTGCGACTGGGGCGATTTCAAAATGGGGAGCTTTGAGGTATGAAACATCTAATACTTTTAAAGTGTGGTCACAGAAGCATAATTTAAGCGAAAATTAACAGGCAAAAAGGGTCAGTTTTCTATAGACAGTAATATAGAGCAAAGCACACAGAAGTCTGTTTCCAGTCAAGCAGCTTTTTGTTGGTCAGTGCGGTGAATTTCCATGACCAAACTGAACTTGAGAGAAATCTGCGAAGGAAACTTTTTCACTCTCATGCGAAATTCCTGATCACACACATTCCCATTAAAATGACTGGAATGATGGCAAAATTTTGCACAGCAAAGGTAAATGTGACTGCACCTTGATTGTGTTAACATCAAGGAAATTAGGATTTTCCATTTCATGACCCCTTTAGTATTGTCACGTGTTTGTCTCTGTTTAGTTCCTGTTTGCCCCTATTTGGTTCAGTTCCTGTTCTCATTTAGTTAATCATCGTTTATTCCATTCACCTGTTTTGATTGAGTTCTCCACCTGTTTCAGTTTTGCCTATCACGTTCCATGTGTTTATATACCCTGTGTTTTCCTCAGTTCCTTAGTCTTGCTTTGAAGTGACGTTGTGGTGTTTTTATCCTTTGTTCGTCAGTGTTAAGTGAAAATAAAAGACTCACCTTTGGATTACCCCTTCGCTGTGTGCCTTATCTACCCACATCGTGACAGAAAGCAAGACCATAAGACTGAAAGTAAGCGGCGTCTTTTCCCCCGTGTTGGTTTTCCGCCCTTTTTGAATAGTTTTTGTTTTCCTGTTTTTTTCCCCGCGGCATGGAAACCGCCGCACGTTTCGCCACTCCGAAGACGAGCCCGCCGGCCGCGGCTCTCTCAAGCCCGCCGGCCGCCATTGACCCAAGATCATCAGTCACCGCAACGACAAGCCCCGCAGGCTGCCCAGTTCACCCGTAATCAGAAAAGGAGGAAGAGGAGAAATGGACGGCTCAGGGCCCTCTTCCTCGCCCGAGTGCGCCTAGCCCCAGAGCACGCTTCAGTGTCGGCTCCAGCCCCAGAGTCCGCTCCAGTGTCGGCTCCAGCCCCTGAGTCCACTCCAGTGTCGGCTCCAGCCCCTGAGTCCTTCTGTTTGGTTCCTGTTTGCCCCTATTTGGTTCAGTTCCTGTTCTCATTTAGTTAATCATCGTTTATTCTGTTCACCTGTTTTGATTGAGTTCTCCACCTGTTTCAGTTTTGCCTATCACGTTCCATGTGTTTATATACCCTGTGTTTTCCTCAGTTCCTTTGTCTTGCTTTAAAGTTACGTTGTGGAGTTTTTATCCTATGCTCGTCAGTGTTACCCTCTTGGTTTGTTAATAAAAGACTCACCTTTGGATTACCCCTTCGCTGTGTGCCTCATCTACGCACATCGTGACAGAAAGCAAGACCATCAAACTGAAAGTGAGTGGCGTCTTTTTCCCCGTGGTTGAGTTCCGCCTTTTTGAATAGTTTTTGTTTTCCCGCCGCACGTTTTGCCGCTCCGAAGACGAGCCCGCCGGCTGCGCCATTGTCAAGCCCGCCGGCCGCTACGAAGTCAAGCCCACCGGCCGCGGCTCTCTCAAGCCCGCCGGCCGCCATTGACCCAAGATCATCAGTCACCGCAACGACAAGCCCCGCAGGCTGCCCAGTTCACCCGTAATCAGAAAAGGAGGAAGAGGAGAAATGGACGGCTCAGGGCCCTCTTCCTCGCCCGAGTGCGCCTAGCCCCAGAGCACGCTTCAGTGTCGGCTCCAGCCCCACTCCTCCAGAAGTGCCAGCGCCTCGAAAGCGCCTTGCTGTGCCTGCTCCTCCAGAGCACCCTCCAGTGCCTCCAGTGCCAGAGCGCCTTGCTGTGCCTGCTCCTCCAGAGCACCCTCCAGTGCCAGCGCCTCGAAAGCGCCTTGCTGTGCCTGCTCCTCCAGAGCACCCTCCAGTGCCAGC